ATATTATAAATTTATATTTATAAAAATAAAAATAAAATGCTAAACTAGAAACAGTCAAAATTAGATTAATAATTTTGAATTTCAAATTTCAAATCGGAAAATTTAAGAAGCTTAAATATAAGTATTATATAATCGATCATATAATATCGTTATTGTTATATTTTCTTATTATATCTTAGACAAGAAAATATGTACAATTTTTAATATTTAACACAAAACTATACACAATTACATTTGTTTATTAAAAATCGTATAAAAATTTTCATATCTATATAATAATTTGTCAAATTAGTTCGAAAATATTTAATAAAATATATGTATATCTACAAGAAACAAGATAATGTATACATGACTTAAATCTCCAGGAAAAAATGTGCAAAAATTAAAGTACTATATAATGATATGCTTACAGAATTCACAGAGCAGTTAATGTATGCAATTACGTATACGATTTCGTACATGCGAAATTGCAATAGACTGGCCAATCCAAAAGTGGTGAAAATGAGATATCTATCATCAAGAGTCATTATGGAGTACTACATGAGCAGAGACTGTGCAGAGTGGTAATTGATTATTAATGTCAGTTTCTTTTTTGAATTGTTAAATTTATGCGTGATAAAGAAACAAAGCATTTTTTTCAATTAAGGATAAAACGGAGAAAAATTGGGAAAATTCTTTTAATATATATCTCAAACATACATTTTTTTACTCCTTTTATACATTGAATTATACACGAAACATCTTCACGATATGTATTTTTAAATAAAATTTTATCAACCTCTTAACAGAGATAATCATAACTTTGAAGTAAAATTATGCTACATAAATAACTGATATAATTATGTAAAAATGTTAAATTATCGTAAAGCTATTGATTAGTAAATTAGAAACCTAATATATTGCTAACTTTAAAAAAGCTATTCTAGAATTAATATACATATACATACATATATATTTCTTTGGATTGATATATGTAAAATTATATTTAGTTTATTTTAATGGGAAATTGAACGTAGCATAATTCACACAATGTATATTATGTAATTGTAGAAATTGATGTATTCTTCACTTAATATCGCTGTATGATTGTATGCATAATAGGATCTTCAAAGCACAGTTAATTTTTTTTATATTTAGTTGTGTTGCACTTCTTATGCAATTAAAACAATTTTATTCGATCGTAAATAAAATAAACTTTGTTTTTTATATAAAAATAGAAATCGAAGCTCTTATATATATCCCTTTTCCTATTATATAAGATTTACTTATCTCTGGCAACTTCTATTTCTTAGAGTTGCCTGTGCTAGCTCGTTTAGATATCTTGTTCAATAATATATATATATATGTGTATTTACGTGTACGAATACAATGTGCTACAAAAATTATTTTTATATGTTTATTCCAAAATATTGAAGATGATACAAAAGATCTAAAATGGTATGGGCATATCGTTAATATTTAAAAAGTATGCGATTTTTCTTATTGATATTACTTAAATATACAGTAATAACAATAAAAAAAACAGATCCTAGTTTATTCGAGGTATCACAATGTATCTTTGTTCAGATAAAACATAGCCATTTTATAATAAGATAAAAACTGTATATTCGCCCATCCACGCATACTCACATATGTATGAAATACTTATGCTATTTCATGTATTTTATTGTTGTACATTTCCAAAAATGTGATTTAAATTGTTGCGCTTTGTGATTCAAATCTGCCATTATAGTTCAACTTAAATATCTAATTTAAAATGTACTGGTAACGCCTGATTTAATGCTTAACATATAATAATCACGTCAAATTATACACACACACACACACACACACACACACACACACACACACACACACACACACACACACACACACACACACACACACACACAAAATATACGTTGATAAATAAGATATACAATTGTGCTATTAAATTATTAATATATAGATAAATTTATGTTATTTAACATTTCAATATTGTAGTTTGTGAAATTTTTTTCTTTTCCTAGTTGTCACATGTTCATAAAACGTTGTAACATTATTCAGAAAATTGGATATATACATAAGAAAATTATTTAATTGATGAATTAGTTGTCTATTTGTCTACCCACAACATCTTTTTCGTGTTTTTTATTCTTACACTGTCTAAATAAGACTCGATTTATAAGAATTGTTTGATGATAAATATTTCACAGAAAGCATTTTCGTCATATAATTGTGAAATATATTGTGTTTACGTTTATACGTTGACTTCACAATTGTCAACAAATTATTAACTATCTTTATCTTGGTCTTCAGATGACCAAGAATAAGTTATTTCTTAATCTATTTCTTAATCTAAAAAATATGATGTTCAATACACTGTACAAAAATAAAATACGATTATTATATGGATTGATTGGACTAAACATTTAACTGGAAAACACCAAATTATTAATCATTTTGTAGAATTGTGTGCTAGTTTCTTATGGATGATCATATATTCTACAATGACCACAATACTATTTATCAATGCTTTCGTTTATACACACTTATTAAAATCAGCTAATGTAATGCATTTTACAATAATTTTCTCTTATGCTATTAAGTATAAAATGCTTATAATAAATTCTATTTTTATGCTATGTAGTAAAAATATGTATAATGTTACACAATAATCTTTCACAATATCTTTCATATATAATAAATAATATAATATACATATATTCTTCAAGTTTACCAAAATATTATACAACTCATTTAGCATATGAAATAAATATATTAACTTATTCAGTATTAATATGTAGTAACAAATGCATCACTGCAATCAAAGTTTTTGTTGCCAAACAAAAAATAGCTGAAATTTAATTACAATTCCACATGTTCGAAAACTTTTATACAATTTGATCAGATTTTAATGCTGATTTTGTATCAAGTGTGAATTCCGCAATATAAAATATATAATATTAATGACATTTAAGAGGGAAGCATATCTCATTTGTATTGATATATAATCGCAACAAAGGCGATGAGCATAAAAAAGGCAGTCATTGCACATTTATATGTTCTACCATAATAAATTCTATATCAGTATATTGTACTAATTAACATATATCTTGTTTTATAGACCATTAGTATACATCTTAATATATCACAATCTAATCTATTTTCATAGTGCAATTGAAATATAAAATGTCTGTAAATTTATTAAACAGCCAGTTTATTAATCTTTCTCTAGTTTCTTTAAATTCGAGCTAAGTTAGATATCAGATCTAACGGAATCTGTCACAGCGTATTTGAACTACTTTGAGTGTCACGCGTAAATTAAGAAAGTCATCTATTTACATGTTGATTTCAAAATCACATTCGTGCTCTCCTCCGCAATATATAAATATTATTATATAAATATTATTTTTACTTCAAAGCATCTCTCCAGAGTTTCTGCCCTTTGATTTGAAAAATTCGAAATATATTGTAAATGTGTCTATATCGAAAGAAATTTACTAATTAAAAGAAAAAAGTTATTTATTAGTCCAACCTCGCCAAATCGAAGCGATACTGGCTGCTGCACTTGTTACCAAACCACCAGCGACACTCTGATGTACCTGCATACTAGAAGATTGTTGACTAATCATCGCAGAAGATGGTACTGCCATTTCAGGACAAGCGATACTTGGTACCTGCATACATATAACGCCATGAATACCAGCATCCATCAATCGTGTTCCTATTGCTTGAAATTCGTTATAGAAGCGTACATAACTTACAGAAGTATGACTTACAGCTTCCCATCCCCAACACAAATCTTCTTCGTCCGAAGCTGAATCATCACTATTTTCCAAATCGGGAACTAATTGATTATGAAGTTGTGCTATTACAGACGGATCAACTTCCATTGGTCCAATTCTACAATATGCAATGGATATATAATTATAAATTTATTCGAATTTGTTTCTATAATCTGTTAAGATTAATAAAATTATTACGAATTACCTTCCGAGATCACTAATTTCAGTATTGAGCAAATGCATCAGGTTTTGCAATGTATGCATAGGATTTAAAACTTCTATTTTGGTATTTTGCGTAAGACACAAATGTAATACGTTACTATTTAGTCTTGCCACTTTCCTAGCAAATTTTTGGTCCGACAATTCATTCCCGCAAAATTCTCTGAAAAAACATGACCAAAATGAAGAAAATATCTCACATAATTTATTGTTAATATGTTAATGTGTTCATACATTACATTATCTAATAAAAATAGACATGAGATAAAAAATATCACTTCATGAATATGTTTGCAAGTAGTATATATAATTCTTAATACGTACCCACAAGTAAGTTTATACGGTAATTTTATATTAACATAATAGGCAAGAACATTAACCAGTTGTGTAGCGTATGTCAAAGCAGCACTAATATTATACGCTGGATTGTGCATCGCATTTTCTTTATTCGCACCTGGCACTCCATCTTTATTTGCCGCAACTAAACATAACACATTTACACTTATGTATATATACTTAGGTGTAATGTCATTAACTAATATGGATATAAAAACAATTACCCCAAAGAGAATAAGCGCTGTAATCTCCTGTCGCTGGTAACGTTGGTTCAACAATAGAATGATGGATTTCTAGAGAACTTTCTTTCTCGTTAATCCATCTACCCCGTACATATGACGTACTTGATGCATCCGCTAATGCGCTAGTAAGAATATCCGAGGTGGCACTGTCGCTGTCCTCGCTGCTGCACAAACTATAAATAATATCCGTAATATTAACAATCTTGGAGAGATCTTTTAATAATTCTATATCACTTTTATGTTTATATTTCTAATACCTTCTGTTTGGTTGGACCTTAGATAAAGGAAAAATGTATTGAATTAACTGCTTGGCCGCAGTTCTAATAACTTTCTTTAGTTGCTCCCTTTTTCTATCCACAACTTCTTTCTGTTTCTCCTGCTTAACTTTCAAGCCATTAACATATCGATGTAATTTCTCTATTCTATCCTCGTGCCGTGGCACTCGAAGAGTTAATTGAGAGTTGACATCTTTCAAAACATTCAGACGTTGATTACCTACATGTAAAAAATTAAGTAATTAATAGAAGAAATAATTCAAACAAGATCAGATAAATTTTAAGTCTTACCTCTATTGATACTTTGTCTTGTTTCGTTTACTAGAGACTGTAGTAGTCTCACTCTTTCTTTACATGTATTTATATCACAAATCTGAAATCACAAATTCAAAATATGAGATATTACATCATTAAATAAACATATTGTATAAGAAAATATTTTACTTGATAATTGCACAATTATATGTATTTGTTCAAATTACGTGATAATTTTCTGTATAAGTCTTCATTTAATTATATTAAAAAGACCAACTGTCTGCAGGAAACTTCTTCGTGCTCACGTATTAAAATAAATATGTATCTATAAACAATAGTGTCTCTTTACATATTAGATCTGTTCTTTTCAGCTGAACATGTATCGTTCATTTTCTCCTTTTCTTTTGAATGGAGAGAAAAAGAAGATGAATGGGGTAAAAAAATTCAGCTGAAAAGAGAATAGACCAATGGATAGAAATTTTAGAACAGAAAAGAATTAAAGAGAGTTTTTTTTAGTTCAGTTTAGAACAGAAAGTTCTAGGAAGACTAAATTATAGTTTAGAACAGAAGTATTTATTTATTATGGTACCAGTTTATCTCTCTGCTTGTGCCTCTCCAGAGCCTTCATGCACTTCTCTTCTAACTGGGCTCTAGCAGCCTTCAGCCGTACCAGCCGCATTTGTTTATCCGCGAACCTGAATCATCAGTAATTATAACTTATAGCTAGAACGTTTTCAACGCGATATTGCTCTTAAAGCCAGCTATTCTCAGAAATAACACGTTCCATGATGGATTCGGTCAGATCTAAAGATGTAAAAAAAAAAAGAAAAAAAAACAACAAGCTATTGCGTTCGTGACAAGAAGAAAAGAAAAATAAGACGCACCGTTCGGAGTAGACGGTGTTCGAATGTATAAAATCCCCGTTCTGGACGCACTGGCGACAGTAAAAAATCCGACGGCTGTTATGGCACAATGGGCACTTGAGCAGATTCATGCTCAGACGACTCGACGCGTCTTCCAGCTCAGATGAGAGCTGGAAATCCGCGGGCGCAGTGCAGGAGCCGTCGGAGCTACTCGTCGCCATAACCAACAGCAGCGACTGCGACGATGACGACAGCAGTAGATAGCAGAAGCAGTAGCAGCAAGCAGCAGTAGCAACAGTAGCGGGAAAACGACGGACCCTCCTCCTCGTCCTCCGACTGACTTGTATTGTGTTGTGCCTCATCAGCTGATCCGCGATTATTTACTCGTGCCGCCGCGCCGCGCCGTGTCGCGCATCCTATCCTCCGTTCTTCTTCGTTCTCGCACGTCGTCGTCGCTTTGTCTCTTTCACGTTGACGTCAGTGACGTCACACAATGATTTCCAGCCAATACCGTTCGACATGCAGAGAATATTGCTTTTTTCCTTTTTTTTTCATTTACGGAAATCTAAGAACTCTTAAAGTCAAAATAATGTCAGTTTGATATCATATTGATCGATTATTAATTTTGAATGAATTTATGTAATTTTTCTATCATGATTGGATATTATGGTTAATATGATATTATTTTGACTTTCTTGTCCTTCTTAGAGATGTTTTTTTTTTTAATCTGATACCGCGCGTTTTGTTATACCAGAGAGAAACCTAAGAGTGGCCATGCTGGCATGCCTTTTTCCTTATTATTATCGTCGAAATCGCCTGCTACTACCAATACATCTTTTTTTAGTTTAGGAACTACGTGACCAGGTACATTTTCTAACACTATCGATAAAATCGTATAGTCGAAAGTAGATGTGGTTCGTCTCTGTACTAAAATCCTCAGGATAGAAGCGTGCCGACTATCTAGAGGAGGGATAATTTAATGAGTCCTTGAACGAAAAAAATTTTAATTTCGCATCTTCTATATATATAAATAAAAGTTGTTGAATTTTAATAAACGAAATTGAAAATTCAAACAAGTTAAGTGAATTTTGTCTTATAATCTCATAAAGTTACGAACTATTATTTCTTTATGCAAATTTTCAGTGACCGTTTTTATCAAACATAATTACTAGTATAACTCTTTTATTTTAGATAAGTTAGTTTTCAGAAACTATTTTATATTTTTTATTTTAAAAGCGTTTTTTTTTACCGATTCCTACGATTTTATATTTTAAATAAATTTCTGCAACTTATATTTTATATTTTTTATTTTAAATAATTCGTAACTGAGTTATTTTACCGAGCCATGATCGGCATTGTACGTAAGTTTAAAGAAACACAGAATAATTTGCAGCAACATAATGTCATAAATTAATTTTTGAGCTGAAAAATTAAATAATGATTAATAAGATTTCAATACTTTTAACCAAAGCTGATTGAGCGCAAATTGTTTCGCAATATTAAGAAAATTTGCATATATAGTGCAAAAAATATTCGTACAGAGAAAATATTTTTTAAAAAACTTTACTTTTAAAAAGTAAATATTATCCAGCGAGAAATAAGTCATCGAATTAATGTCGAATCGATAAATACGATGATTTCAATATCAATTTGACATCGATTCGACGTTTAATTGACGATCATTTCTTATTGAATAATTAACAATTTATTCATAAAGAATAAAATAGACTATATGTTTCTTAAAATTATATATAGCAAAAAGACGTATTAATTATACAAAATATATCTGCAAAAAATTAAAAATTGTATTGTTTGAATGCTCGATAAATATTCGTATAGATGAGAAATTTAACTTCTAAAATCAGGAAAACATGCGAAACTCATTTGTTTATATTAGAACAGAATGTATTCATTGTATAAAATTGCTAATTAATGTTTATTTTTTACAAATAAGACTTCTTTATAACAAACTTCCTTGTACAAATTTTTTTGCTCTCATTGTATCTTTAATACAGGAGAGGTATAGAATATTATCAATTTTTGTTTAAATATGAATCATTAAAAATATTTTAAAAGTGTAATGAAAATTGAGACATGATGTTCCGTTAGAATATAAAAAATACTTCACACACGTGAATAATTATCAATTACGTTTATAAACCAGCAAATGAGAATGGATTAAAATGGATTGAAATTTTTATCCGAATTTTTTTATGCGTATTTTAAATAACGAATACTTTTTTTGGATTTAATTGGATTCAATTGGATTCAATTAGATTTAATTGGATGCAATTGGATTGAAAAACTGCATTTCCTATTCAAAATTTTGAACAATATTCATAATGCATAAAAAAGCTAATATTATTTTTAGATTGAAAGGCAATAGAGATATGCTCCACGCAAAATTTCTATAAATGAATAAAAATGCATTCAGGATTGAAAAACATTCATTTTAACATTCGTGAAGCAATATTTTTGGAAATCTGAATCCATTTCAATTCATTTCAATCCATTCTCGTTTGCTGGGAAAAGAACCGCGCAAATAATACAGCATTAAACTGAGAGATATCACAAAGCAAAGCGCGAATTGTACGATAACCATTTGTTAAAATTATGTAATATATGAATAAATGAATAAATCGTGAATATTTTTCATTCGCAATAGTAGAATATTTAAATGGCGCGAGGCGAATAGCGAGGGATGGGGTAGCGTGCCGATGCCGCACGGCGCGGTAGTTAACTACGTCATCATTTCGGCATTCACTCGGTGATCTCGGAGGGAGACGAACGTGTTTTAAGAATCGGGGTATCGCATTAATTAATGAAAATTATATATCTACGAACGCAAATTATGTAAGATTGCCCAAAATTAAAAAGTATACTAATTAAGTTAGATTAATTAATTAAGGTTCTATTGCTCAATTATACACGATTTTTGCTTTATTTCTTAGATTCATTACGCATATACACAGCTCATGAATATTTTAGATATTTTGTTCTCATATGTACGGTATACAAATGAAATTTTTTTTATTGTTAGATATTTCAAATTGTGCTTTTTATCACTTTGAATATAATTCTGTCATTTTCGTATTACTCCGCATTCTTATGATATGGGAAAAGTAACAGATAAATTATATTTAAATTACATATCTCTAAATATATGTACTATTTATACGTATTATTCTATTTAGTGGAAATTGTTTCATAATTTAAAATAAATTTTTGCATTTAAAGGATGTATGACATATTGTTAATCTTTATTTAATTAAATAAATCAGAAAAAAGAGCAATAAAAATTGAGATATAATATTGGGATATGTCAAAAGCACTTCATGTGGGCAATTATGTAAGAAAAATCACGTTAAAAACCTTTTTTTACTTCTTGCCTTTTGTCAGCACATTGTAATTGATACATAATATACAAAATTATAAAATGAACACAATATAATTATATCACATTAAACTCGCGTTAAAACTAGATGTAAAAAATTGTTTCATTAATCCGAGAACATTAAAAATGTAAAGATAAAATATATTATTTTACTTTACTTTGTAATATGCGTTAATATTTCGACAGTTGGCGTAACCTTGGGATGGCATGGAGTGGCGCGGGGTGGCACGGAGTGGCACGGAACGGCGCGTCACGTTTATGCGTAGTTATTACTTACCGCGCAGTTCATTCTCTTCCGAGATTTGTACAAGCAAGTGAAGCAAGTTAATTGCGTGCGGCTCTTTTTCACATTTTTGAAATCTTATCGCGAAGAATATCAAATATAACACGAAATATTGTACTTTATGAATAATTAATCGTACTAGTAATCATATTATGTGAATATTCATAAAATACAATATTTCGTATTATTTCTAGCATTTTTTGCGATTATTATATGTTTCAAAAAGAAATGTGAAGAAGAACGGCACGCGACATGACTACTTGTCTGTACGAACGGTATCACACGAGTCATAAAAAAGCAACGTTAATATGAATACTCTTATGCAAATAACGCAATTCTTGCTTTCATAATTAATATACCCAGTAAGAAATGACAATGGAATCGATGTCGAATCAACATTGATTTCTCATTGGAATATATAGTTTAATAATTTAATTAATTTTTTGTCTTTGCACCTTTCATTATATGATTTGCTTAAAAATTAAACGTAACTTTAAAACTATTTATCGATAATAAAAGAAACATTTCTCTTTTTTATTAATCTCTCTAGTTCATTTCATTGACTCTAATCATATCTTACAGACATCATCTATAAATAAAAAATTCAACCCTTTTGTTCTGAATTTGTTTTGCATTGATAATGAATTGCAGATGTGTGTTTGATATTCATTTCTAAAAGTTAACTGATTACATAATAATTGCATAGTAATATAGATAATAGCTACATATAACATTTTTCAGATTATCTTCCCTCTCATGAGTACGACTTTGATGTGGTGGGAAAGCTCAGTACTCAGAGGACATTTACAATAATACATACAGAGGACGAAAAGAACGGTTTTTCTCAAGCATCTAAAAATTTTTGAATCTGAATAATACATCTAAATAAATTTTTAGATATTGAGTAGAATCGTTCTCTTCGTGTAAAAATCCAATGAGGAAGCTAACGTATTCTCATCGTCGATTTACTTGAAAATGAACGAATCGCAGCCGATTCGTCGCGTCGCGCGTTTGCTTCGAGAGTGCTATTTAAGTTATCGTATTCATGTTATAGTCCGCGCGCGATTATAATGTATTTGCGAGTGTTTTACGGGAGTGTCCTGTGCGAGAGGATGTCAATCCTATTCTGAGAGGAGGAGGAGATCTGGGAGAGGCAACAGGTACCAGCGGAGCAACCTTGCGGTAAATATTATTTTTTATGTAACATCAGTATCTTTCTTCTGTTAAATTTATTCTTGAGTAGTTTTATTTTAATGATTTAAAAATGGTAATTAGAATAAAAGGATTATTTAAAAATTATTTTGAAACTTTGTAAATATGTATTTTTAAGAAAATGTATAATTACTTTTATAAATATAACTGAATGATGAATTAAAAAATGCTTATAAATATTATATATTTTGAATATTATATAATTTTATTTTCAAGAGAACCTGCATTAAATAAATATTTTTTTAAATATAGGTTGATTTTTTACTCTGTTTTAATTTCATATTCTTTTTGTTACAGAATCATCGTAACGATGTTGCTGATATAACTTTGCTGTTGCGCATCGAATTGGTGAGTGATAAATTAATGTTTTTATTGGTGCAACGCATGTGTGTGATAATTTTATTAATTACTATATATCTATAGATGCATATGC